GAAAGGAGATGTTAAGCCAAGGTATTGAGCCTGGGACATTCTACATGCAAAGTGTGCTCTGTCACTGATTCCATCCCCCAGACTGTACCAGGCAAAGCCATGGAAGGGAAGAAAGAAAGAAAGGAGTGCAGTTAAGATATGAGTGCAAATGGAAAAATGGCATGGAGGGAAGAAAGGAATAATGTTGGCTCCATGCCTTACCCAAGACTGGAAAACCCATCAGACGACTGGAGTTAAAATGGACCCCAAAGAGCAATGGGGATATAAAAAACAAATCACTGATGGGTTTCGGGACGGCTGGAACAAATGACAACCAATAGATATTCACAGTGAAAACTAAGAGTCAAACCAGAGGAGGAATGGAAATGGACTCCTAGTAGAAGCTGCAAACCTAACAAGGCAAATAATCATAAATGAAAAGATTTGGGTGCATAATAGGCTGGGAATTCTTCTGCTGCTGTATTGTATGCCTTGAATATTTGATGCTGCAAATGATTTTGAATGGCTGAAGACTGGTGTACTACTTACGGCTACGTAGGGCGTACTATTCTAAAATGACAACAGTGGAATATGACATGTAGGAGACTAAAGCAAAATGCCTTTTCTAAACAAGATCATTTTCTGTTGCATTTTCTTTTAATGTTTGTGTTACCCCACCAATACTCAGCATGAAAGTACATAAAGAAGCAGCAGTGTAAACAACAATGTGGAAAGGGGTGGCTCTTGTTCCTGCACACCCATTACTTGCATGCAGAACTAAAACAGGAAGCACCTTAGGAAAGTCAAAAGTAAAAAAAGAATAGCCATTGTTCTAAAGTTTGGGATCGAAAAAGAATATTAGAGGTAAGATTATGCTTCCTTTTGGATTAACAGAGTAGACAAGTATACTGCCATTCTGCTATGCATATTTTATGACCGGTGAGACGTTTTGTAGGCTTATATTTTTCAAGTGCATAGTTAACATATAGATTTAATTACTTTCAGATTATAGCTTTACATGCTCAGTCTTTATTTAGTGGGTTTAAGTACCAGAGTTTATTTCCTTTACACAATGTAGCTGGCAACAGCTGATTTAGGGGCCATGTTTCCCATTCATAATTTGGTGTAAAACAAACCCCACCCCAATTCTGTAAGGAATGCATCTTAGCATTTTTCTGGAGCTCCCAGAACAATGTTTAAGTGAAAGTTTGTGGGGTTTATTTGGGGGGGGGTTAATGTACACTGAAGTGTCTTGTTCCATGCCTGTTCCATGGTGAAGAGCAGGAGGTAGCTTGGCTTCATTCTTGTGACAACTTTCCCCAGCCATGGTTGGATTTGTTGTTGAATTACAACTTGCATCATCCCAGATCATTGGCTGGGCAGCCTGGGAGCTTTGAATGCCAACAACAACTGGAGAACCACTGATTCCCTGTCCCCTTTCTGTACAGTCTTACCACCTCAATCGGAGGCAGCGATCCTTCTGAATACCAGTTGGTGGAAACTGGAGGAGGGAACATTGCTGTTGAACTCAGATCCTGAATGCCAGCTTCCTGTAGGCATGCTGGACTAAATGGGCCACTGGCCTGATCCAGCAGCCTCTTCTCATGTATTATGTTGGGTGTACAGTGGTACCTCGGGTTAAGTACTTAATTCGTTCTGGAGGTCCATTCTTAACCTGAAATTGTTCTTAACCGGAAGCACCACTTTAGCTAATGGGGCCTCCCGCTACTGCCATGCCGCCGCTGTGTGATTTCTGTTCTCATCCTGAAGCAAAGTTCTTAACCTGAGGTACTATTTCTGGGTTAGCGGAGTCTGTAACCTGAAGTGTATGTAACCTGAAGCGTATGTAACCCGAGGTACCACTGTAATACAAATCAGTCCCTCCCTGCTTTGTCCAGTTGTTTCGTTGCGGAGCGGCCTAGACTATTTGATCCATGGCATAAATGCTGAAGTGAGTGCAGATTAATTTCAACCCCTGTTTGCCATAAGTCACGCCACCCATGTGCACCAGGACTTAGTGGGCCAAATCAGAACCACAAGCTAAATCTCCACCCTGATGTCCTAGAAAAGAATCCAGGAAATTTGCATTGTTTTGAATAGGAATCAACTTTACAAATGTTTACAACATTAAAAAAAAAAATCACACTGAAAAGTTATATTGATGCTTCTGTTGGCTATTTTATAGTAAGGTCAAATATGTGTCTTAAGCATTTAGGCTAACCACATGGGTATTTGAGTAAATCCCACAGCATTGGATTTCTAGCCTTATTTGACACTGAGCAAATGCTACAATGCTTCAAGAGGGAGGCAGCACACATGGCAGTGTAGCCACATCTATCATAGCACAGCAGAAGTACAAATGAGAGAGAGAAAAGAAAATGGCCTAAAATCAACCATACACATCATTTACATATTCTTTTAAAGAAACCCAGTGCCTGATTTTCTCTTAACTTATACAAACTATATTAATGGTTTGTGGGGGTTCAACAGTGCTTAATAACCTCTAAGGAAGGAGAGTCCTTTCTTTCTCTTCTTGCCAAGTGTACAACCCATGGACGAGCTGTAGTGTCAGTGGACATTGGACACGCCCCCAAATAGTGGGTTGGATGTACCGTACTTTTCCGTCTATAAGACGATGTTTTTTTACCTTAAAACAACGCTTAAAAATTGGGGTCGTCTTATACATGGTTAGTGCAGAGGGGGACGGTGGAAATGATTTCTGTCTTGAGTAGTAGATTGACGCTGGCGTTATTGTGGGTGATAGGCTGCTGCGGCAATGTCTGCTGGCGATTGGTCGCTGCTGTGGCCATGGCTGTTGGTGATTGGGCCCTGCTGCGGCAATTGGGTGTGTGATGGGCGGCTGCTGGTGTTGATCAGAAATAAGATAGGAGGCTTCTGCGTTGCGTTAGATCGCAAGCATTTGGAATTTGGGTGAGGTTTTTTCGGCATTCCTCCCATTCTGGACAATCTTCTCCCCATTTTCTTAATATTGAGTCCCCAAAATTAGGGGGCCCCCATGGGGGCGTCTTATAGACGGAAAAGTACAGTATATTGGTTGACTAGAAATTAAGAGGGACTTGGCTGTTCGCAAAGAGGCTTCACTTTTACAGAGGAATTAGAGAAAATGCAAGTGAGTGATGCCACATGTGAATGAGTCTCATGATGACAGTATCTCTTGTCTGGAGAAGGGACCATGGGAGGTGTGCAGGCACCATGTTCCAGTAAGGGCTGGGCTTTTGCAAACTTTCATCTTGTCAGGCAGGGCTTCTACGCAAGGTCTCAAGGTTGTGTCATAGGAGGTACTGTGGATGGCAGACGGGCTGCCTTCTGTGCAGAATTTAAAGAACTTTAAACATTTGCTGGTTGAAAAACCAGATACATTATTGTCTTCCACAAGTCATACAATTCTTAGCCACAGGTGAGTTATATAGCCTTTGGCAAGATGTTTCATCTGTTCATCTCTATTAAGTTTCTATGTGAAGCATGGAGCATAATTAGAAGGTTTCCTGTTGGTTTCTTGAAGTCTTTAGACAAGCCCTTCTACAACAGTAAGGATAAAGACAACCATAATATGATAACAATGGATTGCCAGCTGAACTATCAGGTGTCTATTCTATGGTCTTATCTCTCCCCCACTATGTTTCAGGTGGGCTGCCTCAAACATCTGCTGTTGCCCTTCTGCTGTCACTGATGCCCCCTCCTTCAGTTATAGAAAATTAAGCATGAGAAATGGGAAGCTCGCTCATTCACTGCTGTTCTTTTTGTACAGTGGTGCCCCGCAAGACGAATGCCTCGCAAGACGAAAAACTCACTAGACGAAAGAGTTTTCCGTTTTTTGAGTCATTCCGCAAGACGAATTTCCCTATGGGCTTGCTTCGCAAGACGAAACGTCTTGCGAGTTCTTGCGAGTTTGTTTCCTTTTTCTTAAAGCCGCTAAGCCATTAATATAGCCGCTAAGCCGCTAATAGCCGCTAAGCCGCTAATAGCCGTGCTTCGCAAGACGAAAAAACCGCAAGACGAAGAGACTCGCGGAACGGATTAATTTCGTCTTGCGAGGCACCACTGTACTTTTTTTGTTATCAAAGCTATATTATCCAAGCAAGTTCCTCATTGCGTTAAAAGTAGCTTTGTTGGGTAACTTGTTCATGAATATAACTAGGTAGATTTTATACTTAATGTGATTCTTACAAATTTGTACATAATTTGTACACATAGTGGAATGCTTTTCCAGATATAAATGTACAGTGAAGAAGAATAAGAAACCTTACTGTTACTGTTTGAATAGTTGTAATTATAAATCCTTGAGTTATCCACCATGTTTTCATTTCTTGACCTTCTGGTGACTTTGGAAAGCAGAAGTCTTCTCCAATAGCAGAGGGGAAACAGTCTGTTTATATTCTTTGAGTCATTTAACAGTTGCTTCTGTCACTTTCATTTACTGTCCTGTTTATCTGTATTACAGAATTTGAGATTGCTAGTAAGTAATCTTGAGGTCACTAATTAACAGGTAATCTGCCCTGCAGCAATTACCTAAAAGGATCAAGTGAAGTAAGACTTTGCTTAATGTTTAATGGGTGAAAGTTCATAGGCGTACTTGAACCTTGGGCATCTTTTTAAAAAGCCCTTTTCCCACTACAATTTATTTTATTTTGTTCTGTTTTATTTACATCCCACCTTTTTCTCCAAGGAAGTCAAGGTGGTGTACATGCTTCTCCTCTTCCTCATTTAATCCCTACAACAGCCCTGTGAGGTAGGTTAAGCTGAGAGGCAGTGACTGGTCCAAGGTCACCCAGTGAGCTTTAGGGCTGAATGGCGATTTGAACCCTGGTCTCTCAGATCTTCATCTGGCATTCTAATTTCACATTGCCTGTTGTAATCTTATTGATCTGCATGTATAACATAAGCTTTATGGATTGACTATTCTGACCTATTGTGTACAGTCTCTGAAAGTGTATAGCAAGTCCATTTTTTTAAAAAAACAGATGTGTAGATATCTCTGTTACTTTGAGAAAAGACAAAAAACCTAGCACAGGGATAGCTCAGTTGGTAGAGCTCAAGGCTCTTAATTTTAGGGTTGTGGGTTTGAGCCCCATGTTGGGCAAAAGAGTCCTGCAATGCAGCAATTTGGACTAAATAATCCTTGTGGTCCCTCCCAACTCCACAATTCTATGATTCTAAGACATGTAGATGTCATTTTAAAAATAAGAAACAAATCTACATTCATTTAAGTTTTTGTTGTTTTTAACCACATGCAAAATTCTCAAGAGAATTGCCTTGGGCATATAAAACATGTTCTGAAGTACATGCATTTTAAATAAGTTTTATTATTCTAGCTGAAGAAAAGTTTTATCAAGCTCAGGAATGCACATATATTGGTGAAGATTTCAATTAAAGATTGAATTGTCTTTTTCTGCACCTTTCCAGGAAAAAAAAGTGAGAATATGGATTCCCCCCCCCCCCCAAACAAATGTGAAATTTCCCATTCCATTTCAAGGAATTGTCTCATTAGAGAGCTCTTTGAGAGAAGCAGCTGTCAGCTGACCAGTGTTGTTCCTTTCAGGCTAAAAAGAGATGGCTTTACTTGATAGGTTACCATTTGCTAAAGTAGGGTTCCTTAAGGGAGGCTTTTGACATGCCACTCCAGGAGAGTTTAGAAATTAATTTGTTTTAAAAACATGTTTCGTTTTTAACTGAATTTGCTCAGTTATTGTCTTTAACGTTCTGGGTAAATAAACTTAGTGTGCTGCATGTGAGTTCTCTGTACCATAAAATGAAAACGAGAAGTTTCCAGTCTTTCGCTAACCCTTTTGTGGACCTCTGATCCTGTTGAAAGACACACTGGCTTTGCATGTAACTTGAAGAAAGGTATTGTGTCCCATTCAGCTTGACTTTTACTGTGAAAGGTGAAGTTTTGAGCTTTCCTTGTATATTGAACGGCACTTTAAAGCCAGAGGTCACCATCTACTGAGCAACTCTTCACAAAATTGATTTGTGGCAATATGACCTTAAGTCTGATCTCCTTGCTGTACAAGGATATTGCAGAACTGTGGTATCTTCTGAAGAAAAGAACAGGTGCGTCTACCTTTCATGTTTTCTTCCCTTCCCTTTCTTGTTTCCACTTCCAGTGACTTCCCTGAACTGAAATGACGGGTGCAATCTAATAGTCCTTGAATGTTGTATTAAGGACCTGTTAGGGATCTTCTGGTCCGCTGCGCAATTCACACATTTGTATTTTTCATTTCCAGAGTGCCTATTGTTACGTCAGTGCCACGTACGTGTTCACTGTGAGCTTTATCACACAGAATGTTTGTAGAATATATTTACTAAAGGATCACGAATGCTTCCTTGTTGTACCTACCGGCAGCTCCTTTAGAAACTGTTCCTTGTATCTTGCGATGTGCTGTTTGAGTGTCACTCTCCCTCCAAGGCATTTTATTACCTTTGTGAGAAGGCTAGGGCAAAGGAGGGGATTCCGCTAATACATCTTCCAAAATCGTCAGTAGCAAAGCTTCGCTATCATATCTTTTCTGGCAATTTCTTTTAATTCAGAGCTTTCCACAGCAATCTCAGCTTTTATTCTGATAGGGTATGAATGATGCATTGGAGGCAGTCTTTGCTGTAAATAGTGAAGCTACAGTCCACTGTGAAACTGAAAGCTTGTTTTTGTGGAAATTGGGGAAGAGGAGGGGGAGAGAGAGAAACCAAATGCTGCTGATTCAGTTCACGTTGCCTGTCTTGGGTTCTGTTTGGTATGCATGACTGCTATAGAGGAATACGGGATGAACAGCAGTGACATGTCAGGTTGGTGATTTGTATTCTACCACTTCAGTCTCTGAAATGATACTTATTTAATGTTGAGTTTTAAGTGTTGGTGTGTATTAGGAGATGTGATGTTTTCCATTTAAAGTAAGTTTTATCAAAGGCTCTGGGTGTGCCTGCAGCATCACTGTGCATTCAGGAGAATTGTGCTAGGCTTTTTGTGTCTTGGTGTACTGTTGGAGACAAGAAGGAATGCAAGGCTGAGGTTACAAAGGATTTAAGAAAGCAGTATGATAACAACTAGAAAATTCAAGTTCTTCCCCCCTGCATTTTCTGCCATTGTGCATGAAATGTTTTGCTTGATACTATTATTAAAACCATTTTGTTTAAGCGAATGCTATTTGGGGGAAATGTACTTCTATGTTAGCTCCCAGATAGTGTTGTATGAATTGTTTTAAATATAGTTTAACTTAGGGTAATAGTAAGAATCCTTGTGTTTTCTGGGTAGTCCAACTTGTCTGATATTAAGCAACGGTAGCTCCTGGCCTAGAAACAAAAGTGTTGGCCTTTTTTACCCATCAGCCTGCTGTTCATCAGCAGGTACTTGGGGCATGGAGATAAGCTTTCACCTGCTCCTGCTGCTGCTAGAGGTATTGGGACATCAGTGTGCAAAGAAGTATGCAATCTGAGGTAAGTTCTGAGATTAAGTTTGGCTGCCTATAATACTGAGCAGTCCAGTCACTACACACATGCAAATAAAATGTGGACATGCTCTTACTCATCTCTGAAATTGCTTCCTGGTGGTAATTCATTTATTCCATGTCATGTGGAAGAAGATACTAGTTTTATGCAAGTAAGATGCAATTAAGGGATGGGGAACCTTTGGCCATCCAAATGGTGGTGGTCTCCCAATTGCTATGAACCCTATCCAGCATGGCCAATGGGCAGGGATGATAAGAACTGTTGTGAATAATATCTATTGGCTTGCAGGTTCCCCATCCTTGGTGTGGTTGGTTGATTGATTGATTGATTGATTGGCTTGAATGGAACTGTGAAGTAGGGATGGATATTGGATTTAGACAAATCCTGGTGTGAAGTGGGATACATTTGAGGTATTTAGGACTTGTGAAAGTGGGATCTTTGTAAGGTGGCACAAGTTGAAGCAGAAATCCCTGAAACACTTTGTGACACCTCAGTGGTGCAGATATCAAAATAATGTTGCAGACAGGCATCTGTTGAAAGTGAAAGTAATATGTCTAGGATTACTATAAAGCCAAAAGGCCAAGGTGGAATGATATTGGGGAGGAAGAGAAAACACCAGGGCACAGAGAAAGAGCACCACTGTGACTGATGGTTCTAGCTTGGTTATCGGAGGGATTAATTTTACTAATGCTCTCCATCCTGGGTTCTTTAGGAGAGGGGGAAACTTTGCAAGTAGAAAGTATGTGTCTAAACTTAAGAGAAGTGTCAGAACTGGATTGGGAGAGGTTTTTTTGCAACAATTCTAGTTTATAATCGACCAGACTGCCCCACCCCACCCCCAAATCCTATGTTGTTGCTCCCCAAAATGAACTGTAAAGGTCCCTAAACCTAAAGCCTAGGCATCTATTTGTCTCCAGCTGGTCAGGTTTCTCTCGCATGCTTCTACTTTTCAGTCCAGTTGCACAGACAACATAAGGTGAGGTTAAGGGATTCCTTTTTCTGCCCACCACAAAATTGCAATGGCTGCTCTTGCATGAAAATCACCGCAACTTTCCTTCTGAAAGTGGACAGGATTTATGCCCTCAGAATAAGCTACCTTGCCTACAAATTTCAGCCAATTCTGACCAAAATTTTTTAAAAAGTGGGCATTACTTTTTATAGCGATCTGCAAGAAGAAAAGTCACATAAGAATCACCTGTACTTCCTGGATTAACTCTTTGCATTGATTGCTGTACAGAGAGAAAAATAGCAAACCTGAACCAATGTTTTAGCATTCCCATCTCCACATGGACTTTTACAAATTTGGAGTGGAATTCTCTTTAAAAGACCTTCAAGTACTGCTGAAGGCAGCATATTCAGTTATGCACTTCAGAAAACTCTCATACATTTTGTTAGATCCTACATCAGGAGGACTAGTTGGAAAACGGTCATACCAGGGGCATAGTTTCCTCATTGCAGACAGATTGCTCTGTTGTTCAGTATCAAAAAGACTTTGGTTCAGTAGGTATTTTGCTTCACTGGGACCTCAGTTTAATAAGTATTGTACTGGATGGCAAGGGGAGCATAACCTTAAGTTAATGTCTTTTATCCAACTGCTTTTGTGCAAATCAATCAGAGCTGATGGAAGAAAATTAGTTGGGGGTAAATTCAACTGGAGCCAATAGTTAAATGCAGTGCTTTTTTCTGGGGGGACGCAGGGCTATGCATACCTCTAAACATTTTGTGAATCTATATTTGGCCTCATTGAGGGGTAATATTTCAATTTGAGTAGGAAAGTGAGAGTACCCCTAAGTATTTTTTTTAAGAAAAAAAAGCACTGGCTAAATGTCCTGATTAATTTGTAGCATATACAGTTCTAGCAAAACCATGCACACATTGTATCAATGAAGGTTCTGTACTAGGGTCCCACTAAGACCCATTTCAGGGTCTTATTCTTCCCTCGCATTTCGTTTCCTACTTCTGGGGTCCTGCGTCTCTTGGTGTGGAGAGGGCACACCACAGTCTTGAAATTCAGTACCCTAGGTGGTAGGTTGCTTTGATAGAGACAGCTGAAGTTGGCAGAAAGAGACCTCTTGAAGTTCCTGAACTATACTGACCTTAATAGTTATATGTGCTAACAGTCCAGTCCCATGCATGTTTACTCAGAAATAAGTCTCTGCTGCATTGGGAGCAATGTGTGGTGTAGTGGTTAAGAGCGGTGGGCTCGTAATCTGGTGAACCGGGTTCGCTTTCCCGCTCCTCCACATGCAGCTGCTGGGTGACCTTGGGCTAGTCACACTTCTCTGAAGTCTCTCAGCCTCACTCACCTCACAGAGTGTTTGTTGTGGGGGAGGAAGGGAAAGAAGATTGTTAGCCGCTTTAAGACTCCTTAAGGGGAGTGAAAGGTGGGGTATCAAGTCCAAACTCTTCCTCCTCCTCTTCCTCTTCTTCTTCTTCTTCTTTGAGGCTTACTCACACTTAAGAGTACATGACATTGCAGCCTAAGTTCATTTGTTAAAACTGCACTTGATCAGGAAAATTTGATCGAGATCTGCTGAGTTGAATGACCAAAATGTTGCATTGTGGATGTGGGGTGATGGATCTGTTAGCATGTGGTGAAGCTGTTAAGCGACTGCCTCATTTGCATCCACTGCACAACTC